TGGTATTTTATTCAAAATGTATTGAACTTTTGAGGTCTTAAGTTTTAAGTTGTCAAACTAGCTACCTTTCAGATAAGAAAGTTGCCCACAACAAGTCTGGATTTTTTTTTTTAAGTTTAATATTTCATTTAATTTGCATATTTAATGGTGCTATTTTCAGCTCTGTAAAATTTTCCTCAATTTTGGATTTGATTTAATTTTTTTCTCAATTACTCCTTTGAAACACCTGTAATTTCCAGATGCTGTTTCTTCATCTCTTCTCTGGTAATTTTCAGCTCCTCAGCTTGTTCCTGTACACTCCTGAAGAGTCCCTGGAGTCTATTTTTAACATCAGTAATTAAAATCTCCATAAGCTAATTTTACTCTGTATTGTTTCCCATTTTATATTTGTGTCTTTGTTTTAATCTTTAAATATTATTGATGTTCCTTTTTCTCATAGACTATTCTTTTGAATGACTTCTTTTTCCTATATCATTTTCAGTTTTTCCAGGAAATGAAAAATATTTATATAAAAACCAAAGTCATGCCATATATAATTAATGATTTTTTCACCTTTCTTTAAAACTGAACTTCACAACTACACAGTGAAAGGTTCTCAGTCCACCAGGTAATGTGTTCTACTAGTCGAGTCTTCCTTCCTTCCTTGCATCTAATAGATAAGACTACTGTGTGGGTATGGAAATATGATCATCTACAAACCTTGGTCTCCAATTTTTTACAAAGTGTCAGAGTGACTATATTTTCCAACGTTCTTACAGAGTAGCAAAGATTCAAACACAAATACTTTATCTTGTTTTAATTCAATTTATTCCTTTCTTTCCCTATTTCTAAACATAACCCCAAACTCACAATATGTTTCTTTGTTGAAAGTGACTTTAACTCATTTATGTCTTTGACTTGTTATATGTAATTTTAAGGCTAGTCAGAGAAATTAAAACTGCACTAGTAAAACCTACAATAATTTTCTTTAGCCATTTTTTTCTTAAAGCTGCCTGCTCTGTTGTCTTTAATTCTTATGGTGAATATTCTCAATAAATAATCCTCACGGAACATTAGATGCTATTCAGAAAACTCTGTTCCAGCATATATGACAGTCTTTTCCTCACTTCACCCAAACACATTCAAGTATATACTTAATTTTCATAATGCGAATCCATAATCAGTGTAAAAATTAGGATTCTGTTCTTGTTCAAGAAATTGCTGAATTGGGACCTTAAAAGATGCTAGCTTATAAAAATGACTTATTTTTTCTTCTTCACATTCCTTAATGACTTCATGTATATCACTTTGCTTTCCCCTGGTTTATTGTATAATTATTAATAAGTCTTTTGTTTCTACACTCTACAAAGTTTATTATCAGTATTCAATATTGATACAGCTTGTATTTTAAATTTGTAATACCTATGCAGATTAGATTGTATAGATAAGATGCACAGAAATAAGATTGAAAAGCGATGCACAGAGATAATGATGCTGAATCACACTTTGTTTTATACAATTTTAATTACAACAGGTGAGCTAGGAATTATAAAAATATTCTATCTAGTAAACAAAGACATTCAAAAATCACTAACTTGAAAGATAACAGAAAGAGCACATACACCCTTATTATAAAATTTAAACATATTATGTATCACTAATTATATTCGAGAATTCTGAAGAATGTTAATCATTTTATCCTTATGAACCTGTCACAATGGTCTTAACCTTTTAGTATGAGAGAGCGCAGGGAAAAAAGGATACTTGATATTGTGACATAGATGTTATGATACATCTACTTAGATATACCAAGGTTTTAATTTTTTTATTTCTATGTGTATGTATTTGTAGTATATAAGGATTACTTTTAGATTTTTAATAAGCACATTTTGAGAGAATCTAAAATCAGGCTATGAAATTCTTAAGCAAATAAAAGATAGTCTAATTCCAAATTTTATGTTATAATTAGAGAAACAAACAGGAATAAAGCTGTGAACACTATAATCATAGGCCTGTAACTTAGTTTCAGCAAAAGAAACTGAAATGTCTTTCCAGGCTCTGTGAATACATCTTAATAATTCAAAAAGCAGAAATTTGAAGTACTAAGTTTCTTCCTGAAACTGTCAATTTTATTTTCCTGATATCAGCTAATAAATATATGTAATTGCTCAATAATTTAATTTAGCTTCCAATTCAAGATGGGGAATGATGGATATCCTTGTTTCTTGTAGCCATTTTGATTTTACTATTCTTATGAAAATGAATATTTTTAAGTCATTACTAGATAACTAAGGACAGTTTACTCCATCATTCTCAACATAGGCCTTTCATTTAACCTTCAGGTTATAAAACAAATCTGTCTTAAATTTTAAACATTTTGAACAATAAGACCTATTCCCTAGAATTGATTTTCTATAAAAAATCACTTTAAAGACCATCAGTAAGTACATGACTAATAATGGTCTACATTCAGTGGCAAACTGAATCTTAGTAACTTTGCAAAAAGTCACTCAATTTGTCTAATTAATAAAAGATTAAGTAGGATTATTTTTATTTAATGAAATAAAAGTTGGAAACAATTGCACTGAACTTTAGAAAGAAAGAATCAGGGACATTTATTGTATGCACTGATCACTAAAAATATTTTCTTATTTTAATATTTTTAAAAGTCAAAGCTGATTTTGATCCAGTTGAATCATTGTACCAAAATATTATTTTGGAATCCATAATTATATAAACTTGCAATTTGTCAACACATAACTGATTAAAATTGAAATTTAAAAATAACTTATTAAATTTCTTTTTTATATTTCCATGGTCTGTACATATGACATGAAATAGATGACATCAAATAGAATGACTATTTTCCTAATAATAATGCATTATTAGAATTATTAGAAGATTATCCATGAAGTAATAAAAGTAGTTGACAAAATTTGTGAACTATAAGACAAAAGCAGCTTTTAGGAAATACATAGATACTTTGTATTTTGAGAATCTTCTTTAAACTGAAAAAGAATGGATTTCTGGGTATCAGTGATTTTCTGTGACATATTAAATAAATTATGGAGGCTTCCTAAATAGTTTTTGTTTTATTCTGTTAAATAGAGTCCGTGTTATATACACTTGGAGATAATGTGGTTTTCGTAAAACACGGTTCCTGTTGGTTGAATGTGTATTTTTCCTCCCAAAGATTCAGACATTTGAAGGTTGATGTCAGTGGTCATTAGGCGAGCAACCCTTGGAAAGAACTAAGGTAGTTTTCAAAGGACCACCCAAGCAGCTCTCACAGGAAGACATGTTCTTGAAACCTTGATTTCGATTACGAAAACACTAGCTCTCTGCCTGATGAGATATATGCCTTTCTCCCATATATGCTCCTGATAGGATATTGTCATTATCTGCCACTAGACTGACCAGAGGCCAAACCAATGAAGTCACCTGATCTCACACTTTCGGCATCTGAAACTGTGACTCTTGACTTCATAAAGTTGTCCAGGTTCTTGTATTTTGTTATAATACTGAAAATAGTTAAATAGAACCATCAATAGGTTCTAGCTCATAAACTGTAACTGAAGATATGATACTGAAATTAAATCACCATGGCACAGAGCTCAACTCTTCCACTGTGAGTCACAAAACCTTTTAAAATTAGTGTCAGAGAATAAACTCCCAAAGAAATTAATGAGTTTGATAATGTTAAACAAGCATTTCTAGCCTAGGACAAATAAGTTTATTTTACATGATATATATTTACCTATGTTTTTATTTTTGTCTACCCTGGCAAGTTAGACCTAGGGTCTTCACAATGGGTAACGTCTTTAGCCTCTTTTCATTTGTTTGTTTGTTTGTTTTGCAATAGGATCATTTTAAATTGCCATGGATTGGTTCAAATTTGCAATCCTCCTGTCGCAGGCTCCCAAAGTGCTGGAATTGCAGGCATGCATTAACATGTTCAGCTATGCTTTTATTCTAAAGGGAAGAATTGTGTAGTGTTTTTTCCACAAATTGATATTTTTTTTTAAAAATTCACTTATTTTAACCTTGACCAGAGCAATGTCTCATAATTTGGAGAAATGGTGGCATAGAGCAATATATAATACTCAGTCCCATTAAGATCTACAGTTGGCAAATAAATCCAGTGATGCTTTACAAGCCACATATCAACATAAATTGTTATTTATTATCAAAAGTAATAATAATTAAACTATCTCAATGATTAAAATAGCATTTGTTAGTGTATGGTTCCCAGAGCTACTTAAAGTTAATTCTACTCACCATTTTTTCCTTTGCTCTGTAAGGCAATGTCATTTTTATTTTTATTTTATTCTTTTGGCTCTGAAAACCAAAACCTAAGGAACAGAAGATAAGGAAAAATAAAGGAAAATATGCTTGGTCCATGTTTTAAAACAATACAAAATAATATTGCTTTGGACAACTCTCTAAAAAATTATTAATATATGTTCCAAACATACTTGAAAATTATTCTTATATTTATATAATATTAATAATTAGCCTATAGATAGTGCTTTTAATTTAATATTTTTAAAAGAAACATTATTTTGTTCTAAAATTCACATATTGTCATTTCTATTTTCATAGATTTTTTCAAGAAATTGCAACCATCTGAAAACCTATCATTTCACGTCTGTTATTTTCTATTTTCAAATTGCTATTTCCTATATGCCAGTATAAATTGTTGCATTGCCAAAACTTTGATAATTAAGTTCACTTTTTTCAGACAGAAATAACAGAAATCATGAACCATAATTGCTCTTTTAAATAAAATTGCTTGAATTGTAAATGTTATCAGCCCTTTTCCATGTTTACATTAAGTAGACAGTGCAGTATAGACTGGATTTGATAGGGCTTTTTGTATTAAATAGTGAGGCTACCTTGTACCCTCACTGGAATGCATGCATTTGTAATTACTGAAATTGAAGAATTTCTGTATCTGCTGTAAAATCGCTTTGGCTGCAGTTAGTTTCATCACCTCAGGCATTTGCTTGTTCTCATGAAAATCCAAGAAAGCTGCCCTCCTGGGACATATTGCGCAGTTTGTCTCTCCCTGGATTTAAACTTCAGACCTGCAGGATGAGAAGAATAAATATTTCTCTCTTACTTTCTAATATTAAATTTGTTAGGACACACTTGTAATTCCTTTGGTCACCACTAACAGAAGTTTAAAAAATGTAAAATTTCCTTATAAGTTTTGGAAGAAATGGAGGATAGTTACAACATATCTTATTATAGGAAAATTAAATGTTAATATATTTACAGCTAGTTTTTCTGGCTGTCCATGCACAAAGGGAAATCCCATTGAATATTTCTGAGCTGTTTTTCTGTTAAGACTCCTCTATGTTTCAAAATCACTCTCTTCTCTTCAGACTTCTGGTAGAAGTCCTTATTAGGTTCATGTACTAGAATGATCTGGTCCATCATTTTGCTTCTGCGTTTCACTGACCCAGTGGAGAAAGATCTAGTTTTCATATTTGAAAATTTATGATGATATTTTTCTAAGGATGAGATTATTAATTTGTTATTACATGTGATAAAGGATAAATAATTTATTTCTCTAAATCTCAATTTCTCAGGTGCAAAACAGGTCAACATTAGTTTTTAAAATTAAATGAATTGATATATTACTGGGACTAATCTTTTTAGACATTGAATAGTCCTTGTTGTTATTGACAATATTTTGACAAACATTTATTAAGTGCCAAATATGCAACCTTCATACTAAAGAATATGAGAAAATAAGCCCTCCCTGCAATAGAGCTTCCAGTCTGTTGAGAAAGAAAATTAAAAAGTATACCATTGTAGGCAATGGTATAACTTCGAAGAACAATGATGGCATATGATGGACTACAAATGCTAAGCAGAGGAAGAATCATTTTCATTGCTATGCAGGACCCCTGAGAAAGTTCATTTTCATAAGGCTTTATAAAAAGTAACTTTTAATATTGAGACTTGGATAACAAATGCTTCAGACTTAAGGGTATGTGTAGAAGACTATTGTAAAACAAAATTAACTTGGCAAGTCTCAGGGAAAACAAAAGATGCCAAAAGCAGAATTAGCAATAATTAATAATCAGAGAGCAGGAATAGAGTTACTGTTTGTCCATTTAGAACCTAGTGTGCAATAGTGACAGCTATTTAAATGATAAGGGCCAGAGGTCTTTGAGTATGGAGTTACTGAAGTCTTTTAGATCTTTAGAACATCTCTCAAAGTTCTCAATGAAATAAAATTTAGAGTTTAAGAGAAGCACACTTGTGGACAGTGTTAATTTCCCTTTCTTAGGAAAATAAGATGTTGGGTAATCAATTGAAACTGCAAAGTAGTTAAAGATTTACTTACAGAAGGAACGGCTTGAAATAATCATTGTAAGACAACTGACAAGGGAAATATGCTAAGTAAATTCTAAAAGTCTGGAAAGGAGGGTAATAAAGTTCCCCAGCCACATTGTCAGTTTAGGAAAATACAGGCCGAAGGGAAGTAAGGAGTCAAGTTATGTTTAGTGTGTTTTCCAGGTGATCACGAGCGAGAAGAAAGGATAATAAAGCATATTAATAATGAATGTAGAAAATGTATTGCGATTTTAGGCTTTGGCAAGGAGAAATTTTCTAGAGGTGCTACGAGAAAGGGACAATAATAACTAGGTGAAGACTGTAGATTAAAATATTGCTGATGATGTAAAACTATTGCTGGAGAAGTACTGTGTTCTCTCTGCTGAACAATCTGGAGTGGTATCAAACGAATCATTCAAATAGGGATATTGTAATAAGAAAGTAACATTTATCAGATAAACAAGATTTGCTGAATTAAATAAGTGAATGGAGACTGGCAGGAAAGTGTTAGTTGTCAAAGTACCAAAAAGAGAAATAAAAAGGAAGTGAATTCAATTATAGTCATTCAAAATTACAGCTACTCATTTTCTTCTTCATTTTTCTCTACTAGATAAATAATGCACTTGACATCATACATTTATATGACAGTCTTTTAGAGGTAAGGGAGTCTTTAGATGCTTCTAGTTCAACACCTTATTATACAGAGAAACAAATATGGAATTTAGATGTTTCAGCCAGGAGATTGTCTATCATCTTTCAACCTTTCCTCTTAACAGAATCATATTTGTGTCTGAGGTGATAATGTCTTTTTATGTTGAGGTGCTCAGATTTACAGCTCCCTACCAAGCAGGGTAGCAACAGGAAACTTTTGCATCCTACCCTCAAAAGACACAAGGAGATATTTGAATGGGAAGCCCCTTACGTGCCTTGTTCAGCTGGCATTTGGTTTTTGTTCTTTTCAATCCTTCCTATTTTTTATTTTGCCTAGAATTCAGAACAGATGTGTAATTTTGCAAATAAAAGAACTAAATTTATGTACTAAGGAGATTAGAGCATGAAGCAAAAACACCTGAATCCCTGATGGGTTTTGTAGATAATCCCCCCAACTTTATCTCTAGATTTCTTATTGTATGTGAAAAGTAGAACCTGCAGGATCATTAGGAAAGGAAAAGAAAAGGCTTTTCCTCCTCTAACTTTTTCTATTGACTACAGGTTAAATAATCTTCTTGCTGTAGCAGTGGTCTTTTGTGTCTTTTGCTTACACACTAGTCAGCTCTTTTGTGAGTTAATCTATCTTCTATGGGGATTTAATAAAAGGAAAACTCACAGGCAGTGACCGGCATACAACTTTCCAAACATTTGCTCCTTTTATACTGGGTCAGGGGTCAGAGCACAGCAAGGAACACTGAATCCGAATAGTTAGTCACAGAACAAAGTGGAGCTCCACTTTTTCAGTTTTATAGTATCTAAGACTTCTCTGCTTGAAACTTTCCTTTTGCTGTATAATTCATTTCACAATTTATGTTTTGTTAATTGTCCCGTGCTATTAATAGATTTTAAGTTAACTAATAAGATTGCAGTAAAATGTTTCTTACAGAATCACTCAAGTTACTTAAATGAGATTTATGTTTCTCCACGTAAAAATACATTACAGTAGTCTTGGGCAAAATAAACTGAAGCTACATACTCATTTAAGGAAATCATACAAAAAAGTTCATAAAGTACTTTTTCTTCTTGAAGACCAATGAGATAGGCTGTCCAGCTCTAATTGCTAACGTAGAACTTCATATAAATTAAAGAATGAAGTGATATGTCAAATTGCCATAAAACATAACCATATAATTTAACCTAGTTGAGAGAGTGTCAGTCTGTGACCTCCATTTTATTGGTCAAGTCCAAATCACTAGTTCTACTGGTATTTAAGGTTGTAACCCATTACACCTTCACATAGTTCTCTTTATTGTGTATCTGCCACTTATATGTAAGATTAAGAAATTAAGGAAATACATTTCAAAATTACTATTAGAAAACATAATTGGAAGAACTTGTATCTATAAATTTTACTTGTTTAGATATTTAGTTCCTAAAGCAAATACAATAAGTTCTTTGTTATGCTCAGTATTGCTCTTAAAATATTTTAAAACTTTAATTATACTTCAGCTCATTTTCTTAATATGTCTATATCTTTTTCTCAGTACTTGAACATATAGTTTTAATAATAAAAAAGCAATTTTCTATTATTTTAAGGGATTTGAAAATCAAAGTAAAATAATTTAGAGCATGATATACCTTTCCCATATCTGTTCAGTTAAAAATTATAGAAAGAATTTAGCAGAAAATGATTCTGTCAAATAATAAAGGATTTTTGGAATGTAGGGAAAAGGTTAGTTTATATTGATAGTAAAATCAGAGGAAACAAAATTATTAACAGGTTTTATAAATGAAAAATTAACTATTGTTATAATAATCTTTCCTCTTATACGATGTGAAAATTGTTTTCTCTCAAGCCTGCATGCAGTGTCTAGTCTCACTGAGTACAAAGAATACCAGGTTAGTCTGTTATCTTCTGGCAGCACAACCCAGATATACAAAGGCTTGGCAATTGTTTCTCTTACCTAATCTACTCCATTCTCAAACAAGGTTAGTTCTTAATATTTTTTTTTTTTAATAAACCTAGGACACTTAACCAATTTTTAGTCCAGAGCTAGAAAGATGATCAGAACAGAGCCTGGAGAAATACCAGAACTCAATAAGGGAAACCACAGACACAAAAGCTAAAAGAATAAGAACTTCTTCAAAATTTGTACAGTGACACAATAAGTCACTTCAACACAGGGTAAACTCTGTCTTCCCTGGGATACAGAAACAGAAGAGTACTCCTGGGGGCTAAGAGTTGCTAGAAAGAACTGTCTCTTCCCATTAACTACACAAGTAAACTGACTACAGCTCTGGGTCCTTTGCTACTCCGGCAGCAGTAGAATCCTGATTCTGTGATTTTCATGGTAGATGAACAATTAGAGATTATCCCTCACTTGGGTTCCTGTTTCTACTCTTGGAGACGTTCAGATTCTAATTCAGAGAAATATTTATAGAAATGTCAGTATTTAAGGAAAATGAGAACCATAATTTTAAAAGGAAAACAATTTCAAAACAGAACAATTTATCACTAAATAAAAATAGGGGATATTTTTCAATACAATAAACTTATATAAAAGGAATTACATCATTAAAAGAAAAGAATTATGAATTTAGATAGATTAATAATACAAGATTTTTTAATTAAAAGCCAAAGTTTTAAAGAAATCAAATCACTTTTTAAAAGGACAAGAAAAATATGGAATATATATATATATATATATATATATATATATATATATAAACATTTAACATGAAATAAATAAGATTTTAAAATGGCACTGTTATGGTTTGAGAACTGGTGGTCAACTTAACGCCAGCTGGATTACATCAGCATGCATTGAAAGAAGATGCTCCACCTAAGGAGGGTTGCCAGGATAAATAGGTGGAGAAGAAGAAAGGTGTTGAGAGAGGGTTGAGGTGTTAAGGAGGCATTATGGATTCTCCTACGAGTTGCTGTCTGAGCTGTTGGTTCTCCTGGAGAAGCTTTGGTCTTCACATTGAGCATCACTTCCCAGCTCCGGAGGGGAAGACATGCTGCTTGATCTCCAGGATGAACTCCTCACACTGCTTCCTGGCACGTACCTAACTGTGCTTGTCGTCGGAGCTCGGGATCTTCATGTTGCTGAGGACAGCTGTGGTGCCTTTCAGGCTAGCCCTGCTCTTTGTTGTGAATGTGAGTTCTCGGCTCCAGCGTAGAACCCTCGTCCCACTAGCACAGCTCCTTCATCCTGCAGGCATAGACTTTCTGGCTTTCACTGCTGACCCTTGGGTCGAACCAGCATGGATCCATAAAAGAGACTGCTGTGAGTCCTTGTGGTCTCTGGACCTCCAGTTGGACTAGTGGAAGGCATTGTTCTGAGCTCTGGGTTTTTATCTGGACTCATGTGGGACATTGCCATAGGGTTTAGACTCTTGGCTAAATAATCTGTGTCTTTGGTGTTGCAGATAGATTTCCTGCATTTTCTTGTGTTAACTTCTGTTGACCATTATAAAAATATTATGAACTCCCATCCTAATCCTAGTTGTTCTCTGTGTACAACCCCTGACTACAACAGGCACCAATAAAACAGACAATAAAAATTTAATGATGAAAAAATTAAATGGATCCATGATGTATATTTTATTTCATAACATTGAAAGCATATTTATTTTCACTATGTTTAGTGATACTAGGGATTGAACCCAATGTATCTCTGTACTGAGTACATGGCTTCAGTTTATATTGATGTACTGAGAACTGCTAAAATATTTAGACTACAAGTACCACAAATACAACAATAAAAAAAATAAGTTTACTTTATAAATGTGTTGTTTATCAATAGAGAGCATGGATAACTAGAAAAGACATTTACATATTTTGTCTAATAGCTATCAATGGATAATATTAACTAAATTCAGCTTGAGCATATTTAATTTCTAATAAATGGCAAAAACAATTTTTACTAAAAGGCTGACCACCTGCTTAGCTCAGAAGAAAAATCTCTGAAACATAGAAGGGTGGTTATTGTGCTGCACATTACATTGGATGTTATTTTGTTCTACTATTACCATACGACTTCCTTTTATTTTCATTTTCTGCTACAAATACACACTCATTTTATTTGCATATTTTATATTTACATTAGAGATAAGGAAAAATGGATTTATTGGGCAGGGTTAAAAAATAGCTTTTCCCAGAATGATATCACATTTTAAAGTTGACGTTGCATTGAGGCATAGGTACACAGGTAACACCTTGGACTTTCAAACGTTATTTCTGTGTTGCAAACCAACTCTGTTACTTTGATTTTAAAAAATAAGTTATTTGGAGGGATCTTAGTTGAATTCAACACTGCCCTAAATATTAGTAAGAATATTAATTTTTATAAAAAAGTTTTAGATAGCATTTTACCAATGGAAGCCATGGTCTTTATTTGTTTTGGATTCAATTTTTTTTATTACATAATGTCTTTCAGTAGCTGCAGTCTGCAATACATTTTTTCATAACAACACATGACTTTTAGCCAGACTGGTGGATTAACTAATAGTCAACTTGTAACCCCCAGCTGAATTGAATCAGCACAGTTCTAGGTATGGAAGGCCCACCTGAGGATTGCTGCCAACAACATAGAAACAAAACTGGTGGGGAAGATGGTGTGCTGTTGGTTCTCCAAGATAAATTGAACTCTTTAAAGTATTATCATGGCACAAATCTAAAGAACATTTTGAAATCGTGACTTTTACATATTATGTTTGGTACACACATACATTTGAATAAAAATAAGTTTTTGGGTATTTTAGTGATAGCTGACTAACAATTTGAAGCAGCACTTTTATAAGTATATAATCAGCACACCAAATATCAAAATAAATAAATGTAGAAACCCATTACGATTAAAAGCTAAATTTGTCTAACAAAACCATTGATCTCTGAGCATTAGCAAAATAAATTTTATTTTACATTAAGAAGGAAATATTTTGTATGTTTTTTGATTCATATTATTTTCCTTAATTACTCAGAGTGTTTGCTTTTGAAGTATTTTGAATAAACCCAATTAATTTTCTCATTAGAAATGCAAAAATGAGGAAGTGTTTAAACTGATTTCTGAAAGCTTAAAAATATTTGAAACTCTCCATAAAGTAAAAATGCTCCCACACACGTCACTGAAAATGTTGTGCTTAAGTAGTAAACATCTGGAAAAGACTAATGAGTTTCCTTAAGTGGAATAAAAAATTACTAGAAATAACTTTGGCACATCTTACATGTTACACAAAATGGAGAAATCATAAAAGGCTAGACATTAAAGTAAAATTCAAGGTAACATTGGAAAACTAAAATATTGTATACTGTACTTTAAAAATAACATGTATTTTTATTAAATAATAGTTTGAACACACATTTAGCTCAATATGAGAAGTTTAGATAATTGGAGCTAAAATGTCATTAACATTATTGTAGTTTTTAGGCTACTTTTATACAAGTATAGTTGTTATAACTGTATTATCATTAAAGTTTACTTATGCTTGCTTTTCAGTTTGGATTCCTTATTTTATTTTATTTTTAGAGAAGCTGAGGATATACTATAGCTCAGCTCCTGTAATTTTAAAATATAAAAAAACTCCGTTGATTAAATGGGTGCATTACTGAAAGATATTAATAATTTTATTAATTGAGTCAAATTCTCCATTGACCCTAATCAGCAGTAAAATAATCTACATTTATTTGAGTATATAGTCTCTGTTAAGTATTTTAATGTGCCTCCTAATCTTCAATAATACGTAGAAATAACTGTTGTTATCAATATTTTTTATGGAGTGTTTTGCCAACTCCATAATGTAATAATGGCAATAATGCAGTGCCATTATACACTACAGATTACCTTATTTAGAGTCCCTGCTCTTATCCTGCTCTTATCCTGTAAGTTTTCATTGTGTTCCTACTAAATTGTCTAGTTATATTTTTAATAGTACAAGACAGACTCAGTAGAAATGTATGGTTTTTACGATTCAAAGTTTATCTATATGACTAACATGAAAATAAACTGCTATTTAACAAAAATGTTTATCTCACAGCTACTGATATATACATATAGGACAAATGAGAGACAGTTGGATGAGCAAGAACTTGAATATCATAATTTATGAAAGGTATTGTGATTGGAAAACACATCTCAGCTTCAGAAGCATTAAAGAAAATAAAATAACACAACTGGTATACATTAAATACAGCTTTATATTAATTTTGACAGAATTAAGTGAAATTCCCTTATACTTTGTACCAAGGAAACTTCTCAGATCATTTTGATACATTATTTTTTGTACTTTGCCTTGCATTTATATTATCGTGAAGATCCCTATTTCTTGATAAAAATATTCTGGTTGGTGAGCTATGTTAGTACCATAACTAAATATAATGTTATCTAAGTACGTGTAGGTAGTAAACATAAGACAGAAGACTTGGAATGCATTTATAAAATGGAATTATAGAATCTGCTTGTAGATAAGATTGGTGAACGTGATTTTGTCCTTCTATGTTGTTCTAATTGAGAGTAAAGATATGTTCATTTATTCCCATATTTATTTTGTATAGAAGTACACAACTGCTATTTTCATTTTGTTATCTTTGTTTATCATTTCCAAATTACATCACAGGCATTTACTTTTTGAGGATGACTGATTCTTATATTTTACCTTGTTTAACATTCTCTGTATAGGTGTAACTAATAATGAAATGGATGCTATAGATTAATCTCTCACTTCTGGTGTTGTCTAATATCCCTCCATTCTTCAGCAATGTTGAAATTTTAATACTTAAGTGTTTATGTTTTGTGTTTGTTCATGAAAATCACTAAGAATTCTTGAAAATAATGCATTTTCCATTAAGTTCTTAAAGTGTTATTTAATTAGTTGTAAAGAAAAAAGTACAGATTTCTTCTAGTAATTATTAAAATGTTTGCTGTGGTCAGATATTAAAAGGAGAAAGTTTAATACAAGGCACATAATTAATAGGATTATTTTATAATATTCACCCAAAGAGTTAAATGCAAAAGAGTATAGGAGATCTTTTCACATGCTTGAGACCCAAAGAATGTAGCTCAGGGCCTGGATACCATGGCAATGTCCCACAGTATTGCGGGTGCAGACCTGAAGCCCATGGTGATGCCCTCCATGAGTCCAACTGGAGGCCAAGAGCCCAAGACAACATCTCATGCAAGTCTATATCAAGGATCTGCACTGGGAAGGCCCAAAGGTCACTGGTGGAAGCTAGAAAGTCTGTGCCAGTGGGAAAAAGGTTATGTTCCAGCAGCCAGCAGGCTGAGGAGACTGCAATGGAGCTAGGAACTGACATTCAAGGTAAGGACCAGAACTACCCCCAAATGAACCACAGTATGCTCAGTGACAGCAACTACTTGAGCTCCTTTGATGATGACAAGGAGAGAGTTCATATCAGGAAAACCAAGGGGACTTGCTTCTCTAGGACAATCCATTACATACCATCTTCTCTTCCACTTCTCTTCTCATGCTGTTGGCAACAATCCTGAGATGGGCCTTCCATTCCCAGAACCACGCTGATTCATTTCATCTGGGGATTACAAGTTGATCATTAGTTAATCTACGACAATATCCCTTGAGAATTGTAAAAGAAAATTTTCAGACAGCGTTCCAGGTGACAGTGTGCAACTGTCATCTTGGCTCTCAGAAGCGCTGAAAGGCTCACGTTCACCCTGCCTGGCCTTGGCTATTTATTGATTTAGTGAGACAGTCTCAAAATAAAAAAAAAAGAAGAGTTAAAGATGTAGCTTGTAGCTCAGTTTCAATGCCTTGAATTCAATGTCCTGTATAAAAATAAATCAAAAGAACTTTGACACTGTTTAGAGGAAAGAATCCTATGACATCTATATCCATAAATCTCTGCTGTCAGAAAACAGCTCTATTTATTGGCTTAAAATAAAAAACTTAAGTGGTATTTATGGTTCAAGAAAAAGAATAATAATAATGATGTACTATAGGATTTTCTCAATTGTTTAATTTTCTTACCTATTTTAAATATTGCATTTCCCTTACTGTTACTATTTTAAAAATCTTGTTTGATATTTCATTAATTACACACTAAAGAAAACTGTAAGATGAATAAAATGAAAAAAATAAAAATAAAAACACTAATATCACAACACATTTTTAATATGATTATTTAGTACATATATTAACTTCCTGAGGATACTATCTTCTTTGAAAAAAGAAAATATCCTAAGGCTATGATCCACAGTCCTGTAATTATACTAATGAAACTGTTTCCTAATGCATTCAATCATAAAATCAGTTCCTGATTACTAGCTGTTTTTAAATGAAAAACCATTTTCATAGCTACAGGGCGGTTCATACAAAAATAATAAATGTTACAGGAATAGCCAAATTTAAAATGAACATGAGGTTTCATAGTTTTTATTTCCTATTCCTGTCTAGAAAAACCTCCGATCACTTATGATGGTAAAAATACATTAAAAGAAGGTTTGGTGATTTTGTCCTCTAAGAACAAGGTAAAATAAAATAGAATGTATTTTTCCAATGTAGTTTAATGAATGTTGCTGTTTATGTTTGTTCTAATTTGTGTTATAATTTTTGAACTATGTGAGCTAATTGCCTACTGTTAGAGTCAGAAACACAAGATCAAGAGTGATCAAGAGAATATGATATCCAGTGTCCTAGTAAGTAATTGGGAATTTAGATAAAACATTGCTATTCAGTCAAAGAGTTCACAGGACAGTCAGTAAGCTCAGTGAGAGAAAGACATTAAAGGGGTATTTTTTTTCCCAGTGGTCAACTTATTCAATCCAAGCACTAAAATGGATTTGGGGAAACCTAAATAACATGTTGTGTTTTGAATCTATCAAGGACTCCCATGTTCTCCAAGTTCAGACAGGCAAGGAGGCTCCACAGTTCTGGGAATTCAGAGGTTGATAGCACTAGTAAGAAAAATTATGGCCTCTTATACCAGGTAGAATGTATTCTGAACTCTACATATGTTTTCCTATTTGCTGATATGATTTTCCTAGGCATCATGGAAAGTTCCTGAAGAAAGTATATAAGAACTCTTTAGTGAATCTAGTAAACCTTGAGGCTGAATGAGATGGCTGATATCCTTATTAGGTACAGTTGTAGGTACACAGAAAATATTTGAATGTCTCTAAGAGATTAAAAACAAAAAACTCTATATAATACATATAATCAAATTGAGCAGTCAAACAACTTTTCATTGATAATATTAGTATATGTATGGCTGTTATAATAATAATGAAGAAGTGGAGAACATTCCATGAGAGCTAAAATACTGACCATTTTCTCCTAAACTGAAAATTGAATTTGCAGAGTTATCGAATTGGATGGAAAAGACTTCAACAGAAAATTTGGCCTGAGATAAATTAAAAGTAAACATCCTTTCCAAATGCTGAATTTGAGTGAGAATATTAAACTTTCTTTTCTTCAGCTAACATATGTGAGCTTGCTATGAGATTATAAGATGATAGTTGATAAGGAACCATAAGACATGATGCTATAATTGCAAATAAATGCTCTAGGTTTAGGAAGATAGGACAGAAGTTAAGAGCAGGGGTTGTCTTTCCAATAAAATGTGAGCTACATTACCTCTATTGTTTTATACTTGTTATCATAAAATGTGTTCAAACACTTAGAGGATAAAACTACTCAAATCCACCACTTTAAATATATGAAATTTGGTAGGTTGACAAACAGTCTCATTGGGCTAAAATTATCATGTGTTACATTACAAAGGCCCCCAGGAAGAGGCTTTCTCTGTCTTTCCAGCTTCTAGAGATTGTTCACATGCTTTCACTCAGGGCTTCGGTCAGTATTTTCAAAGACAGCTTAATTGGGCTGTTTTCTGAATCATTATATATCCAATGCAGGATATTCTCCCAATTATCATTAGTAGATTTTTAATTTTCATTACCTCTGATAATTCTCATTTGTTGTGCAAAATGACAAGTTGCAAGGATGAGGATGTAGGCATTGTCAGGTGGCCATTATTCTGCCCCTCACCTCAACAAAAGATTCAGTGATTATATCGAAAATACTCCTGGTAACACTGCTGAGAAGAAGCTCCTAAACCTCCTAGTGAACTTGGACTAAGATCCAGGTAGTTCAGTAGAGAACCACAAAATGAGGTGTAGCAAATGATATCAAAGTAAAAATCAATAACTCTAATATTTTATTTAATCTTTGAATCCACTGAAAGAGTTCTCATGTATCCTTAGCATTTTGGAAGTTTTTATCCTTAAACAATATTAATGCTTTTTCTTCATTTTTTTTGGATATGCTTTGTCTCAAATTTTTGGGTCATTCATAGGTAGTTTCTGTATAAGACTATAGCATAGTTCTTGATCGGTGGCTTCACATTTGGTTTTTTTTAATTAAAAATGACCCTGTGTTGTCTCAGTAGTAATGCTTTGAAGAACAAAGCTATAAATATTTTAAAAACTTACCCTCCAAACAAAACAAAGGTACTTAAATGACAGCCACCCAAGGAAACCATTTATGCAAAAACTAACTTGACAATTTTAATTGCAGTTATTACTATAAACTACTGAATATATGAGCTTCATGAATAAAAGGTTAAAAAATATAAAGAATGAATAAGTGTTAAAATTAACTAAAGTCATTAACCATTAACTATCAAAAATTGTTTTTATCTGACCTCTGTTATCGGTGGGGTGTTTAATAGGCACAGACACTATGTTAAAATGCTAAGAGTTTAAGTTTAGTTAAAAGAAAACTTTAGGGGAAAACTGTTTTATCTATTCTTAGAGCATAAAAAATTTTTCTATGAAAATATACCTATAATAGATGAGTGATAAAGCTTGTGAATTATTTTGATTAAATTGTAAGAGAAATAATTTCAAAGGGTAATTCAAACAATATTACAAACTATCATTTTGACATGTTGAGGCCTTTGAATAGAGAAGACAAGGTATCAGATGTAGTGTTGCCCTCTTTTCTGATCTTCCATCCCTTCTTCTCCCCAGAAAAGAGTCACATAAGTCAGCATTCCTTTTCATATGGAAGAGAGGATGCTATAGCACCTACAACATTCCTACAGAAAAGCAACAAAATAAAACTGAAATGTTCATTATCTCCATTATACCCTGAAGAACCTCATCTTGGAGGGATCTTGTCTTTTACCCAGCAGAAAGAGACAGTACAGGGAAAGTTCAGGAAAATATGAGCAACTCTTGCTTCCCCTTGAACCCAGTCTATTACCTTAGATCACACCCTGTGTTCAGTCACATTTGTACTTGGTTTTTTAGAGAACCTAAGCATAAAAACAAGGCCTGTGGGAGAGGAGGGGATGGTCTTCACTTCTGAAAGGTTCTGTGTCATGCAGACTTTTAATGAAATAATAACTTGAAGCTTTTCTCTCGTTAAATATTTTTGTTACAGAAGTATCTGTGACTCTTTTGGTGTAAAAAGAATTGTATCACATCATTTTTTTGCTAGTACAATATTTATTTAATTCTACTCAAAAATAAGCTTTTAAAATATTGTTTAAATATGAGAAGTAAAATAAATATATGTTTTCAAGATTTGGACAAATGCATTTGATGCATTTGATATTTCTAAACAGTGTATAATATGAACAGATGTGTATAAATTGGATAGATCTTAGAAATATTTGAGAATAAAATATATTACATTTAGTGTAAAAAAGTCACATTATTTTATTTACAAAATTTATTAAATAGTAAAAAAGCATAGATTGTTAAACAGTGAATGCATACATATGCATAACATAAGAAATATATGGGAATAATAAAACTAGATTCAGAATAGTAAGTATTTATGTAAATGAAGGGATAAAATCCAGGACATGTATACAGAAGGCTTTAATAACGTTGAGAGGAACATTCTTCTATGCTTAATGTATGTAAGGTACATCTCAAATTGTCTTCAAAAGTATATATATATACAGTATTTGCACACATTATTATAAGATCTAAGTTAAAAATATATATATATATACATTCCAAATGATAATTGTATACTCATTCATTAATTTATTTGTCTCAGGATAGTTCTATTGACTATTATGTTATAGCCCATATTTTGGGAAACTCTAAACAAGGAATTTATTTCCTGTAAAGTTGTAACTGTATGGGTTTTATGCAGTTCTAGAAAAATAAAACACAGTTCAAGATCAGTATCAAGTCCTACAGAGGACAGAATCTATTTAATACAGAATAAAAATGGTCCTAAAAGACAATAGTTCCTGAGGGTGTGACTATGCTAAAATGTGGCACAAAAGTTGCCATAAAACTTATCAGCCAAACATCGTGCTGCAAGTTACCTTCCATTATGCTTTCAATGGGACATTATCAATGAAATATTGGGAGGCAGTCAGGTAATGATTAAAATGAGGATTTTGAATCACAGTGCTTGGGTGGAAATCATGGATCAAACGTTTGTTTTCTTCATTATTTGGGGGAAGTTAATTATATTAAGCAGACATAGATTTCTGATCTACAAAATTAAGCCAGTAGATATGCCTAAGTCATAAGATAGTAAAGGTTTCAGTAAGCTAATGCACAAAAAACCCTTAGTGCGCATGAAGGATTATGATGAATTGCTTAGTATGTAAATATTTATGTTTATTGCCCATCATTTATAGACATGATATTTAACATAACCAACATAAGGGGTTTCTTATATTTGTTTAAAAGTAAATGTAAATTGTAGTTTAAACTACATACTTCTTTTATTAAAAATATAGAAATCATGTCCTAAATTTACCTAAAAGTAATTATTTTCTATCAAGATGCCACCCAATGACCTGCAATTATGCACTGACATTCTACAAGATTGCATCTCACTATTTAAAAGTTAAATTTATGGCTTGGTGAATAGTAACTGAAAAAAAAATGAAGAGAAAGGACTAAAGAATTTTTTCCAAGTAAGTAAAATAATAACAAAAAAATGATCATCTTAATAGTCTGCCTTAAGATTTTACCCTAATTAGTCAAGGAAAAAAAAGAGATGAGGTCTATACTTTTAAACTATTTGTTGTTTAAAAACTGATTGATCAAATCATTCTCTTATATTCTTGTCCTCCAGTCATTAATAGGTGTTAATTATAAGATCACACCACCTGACCTACTAATGGCAGTAAGAAACTAGACAGAAATTTAAACAGACAGATAAATTTTAAAAAGCCACAATTAATCAGCATTTGTCTTCCTAGCATCTAGTATTAATTACCAGAAATACATTAAATGTAACCTAGGTTTTAATAAATATTTTCTAATAAATGATGAAGCAGAAAATAAAAGCACAGAAAACACCAAACTTTATTTGAATCAATATTTTTAACATTAGCAATATAGGCCATAATATATCTGATGATTCCAAAGTATCATATGCAAAGAAAGCATTAATGAAAATGATTACACTTATCAAGAAATGGTTACATCACAGTCAAGATCAAAAAAATCTTCCTACCTCAGTTTTTCAAGTGTTAGAATTACAGCCTGTGCTACCTTGCACAGCTCTAGGTTCTATCTACTCATAACTATCTTTCAATAAAATATAGATTGCTATCTAATTTTCAGAAGTTAGATTTTCATTTAGAATTTTGTATATAAACTCCCTTTACTACCAACCTCAATATGCTTTATATTAATAGTATTTTTGGAAGACATTTCTAGAATATTATCATAAACCTTGACACAAGCTCAACTTTAATTCAAAGAAAAATGAAAATTTAGCTTCTATGATACACACAGAGCTTGAAACAATTTTCCCATTTTTACTATAAGAACATTTTAGATAAATTGAAAACAAGTATATTTTTTCAATGTATTACAGAAATGAAGTTACAGTGAAAATTCCAGATAAACCCTGGAGTTAAATCCAGATAGTTACGATTAAAATTTCAAGAAAAAGAAATATATGCCTTCAACTTTCTGTGCCTTCAACTTTCTAAGCCTTCATCCGACAAGGTTGAGTGTAGCAAATTTATCATAAAGCATGTAGCAAAAATTAATTTTGTAAAAGAGCAAAAAGAAAAATCAATGACACTGAAAGCAATAGAGAATGTTAGCAAACCGAAAGCTCATCCTTTGATAAGATAAATGAAATGAAATTAACAGGCATCTAGCCAAACAAAAAGCCAAGTAAAGTAGCCAAGTTAACAGATGGGCAGATTTACCAACATTAAAAATATAGGCAAAGATTTTTGACTCATAGAAATTTACTAGGATACCTTTATGGTTTAGATCTGAAGCAGCCCTGAAGAATCACATGTTGAAGGCTTAATTCCAGTATGGCCATGTTCAGACAGGGCTCCAGAGAGGCAGCTGAATACCAAGGGAGCTGCAAGGGCTGCTAGAGGATTAGAACTAATTGGAGGAAGTGGGTCACCAGCAAGTTGGCTTTGAATTAGGTGACATTTCCCTGACTCTCTTTCACACTGCTTCCTGGATTCAATGAGATGAGCAGCTTTCCTCAGCCATTCTCTTCTTTCAGGATATTTCTGCCTGTAGCCAGCTTATCATAGACTGAATTCTCTGAAAATGTGACATACAAGTTTCTTCTCATTTAAATTATTTGTCAGCAATGAAAAGTAAACTGACACAAAAAGAGAAGGCTCTGAGCTTCTGTTCTTGAACATTTTATATCACGATTCAATTAACTGATTCGCTGAAAGTTAAAACTACCAAACATTAACTGGAAGGATAAAACAATAATCTGAAATTTCCTATATGCGTTAAAGAAATTAAATTAAGAACCAACCACATCTCAAATTGAACTACTTTGAATGAATATTCTCAAACATTCAAAAGAAAAAAAAAATGTTTACAATCTCTTTTTTAAGGTATAATATAGAGGGGGCAGTTCTGAAATATTTTTTATGGGTCTTGAATTTGTCTTTCTAAAGACAAATAAATGCAAAAATGGCAATTGTTGCAGACATTTTATGATTACGTACGTAAAACTTTTTAACATAAAATTAACAGATAGACTCTGTCATACTGATAGACATCACCACAAAGTTGAGTCATTCCACAAATGCAGCACTATTTAAGTAGTAAAAGTTGCCCGTGGTAATCAGTCATGTTAAGAAACTGAAAGAGTTGAGGAGGTCTGAAGCATATATTTTCTTAAAATGAAAGAAGTCGCTTAGGAGTGAAGGTCTGTAATAGCAATGATGCGTAAGAGCTGGCTTGTCTCTTTTTGTGAAGACTGAAAATATTTTATTTCTAATGATTTAATTTATGTCTTGAACATTATTAGCTTATTCCATAATTTAAACAGTAAAGCCTCAATTTTTGTCTCTGTAGACAGAATAGGCTGGTTTGTATCACCATTACAAACATAGTAATTATTTGTTTAACTCATAATGCGCATCCATCTTTTATTGTTAGGGAGACCTGCTGGACATTATAACAATTAGGAGCTTCAGTGAAATGAAAAAGAAAGTTATCAAATTGCACACTACCCATTAAAGTGTTCTGAAAGTAAGATACATTTTTGAATAAAAATAGTCATGTATAAAGATATAAAAATGAATATCTACAGACACCCAAAAGATAAACATCTTTTAAAATAATCTGGAAAATTATGAACTACATTAAGCCATATTTCATTGAATAGAATATTTTAATATATATATATATATATATATATATATATATATATATATATAATTAATGTCTTTCACTTATCATGTATACAAACTGATGTACACATCACAATCCTGTGGTTTATATATTGAAAAGAATATTTGAAATTTTAAATACTTCTAAGTCACTTGACTGAATACACATTTCTGAGAATTCACATTCATCTAATGATAAACATGCCTTTTTACAAAATATAAAAGATCAGTACTAATAAAGAGCAAAATTTTATGTTTTTTCATAAAGTCTATCTGAACATAGTACTATAAAATTAAAGTGAATTTTTCTTTGTCTTTTTGAGCATTATAAACCTGTAGTTTTGTTTTGCTTTGTTTTGGCAAATTGTTACCAACTTTCAATTCAATACATACAACATATTTAAATGGAAGAATCAGAACATAATCATTGGGAGATTAAATACCTGTCACTCAGAAACATAATGGTTCATAAAATTTTACATCCCTTTTTTTTTTTTTTTTCCTGGAAAAAATGCATTACCTTTAGCTCACACTTCACCCTCTCTAACTTTAGGCAGAAATCAGTGAGGTCCTAAAAGTTTTGTGTTTCTTTAAGGAAAATAAAATTAGAAAAAGTTTACATGGTACAGATAAATATCACCATAGAGTGGCAGTGTTTGTAAGCACTGTAATGAATAAAACTACAAAGATTTATTGACATTTTCCTGTTTTTTAAATATTGAATTTTAGAACCTAATTTCTTATCCATTATATAGCCGTATTTTGAATCCTAACAAAACTAACATAACAATCTATAAATCCAATGAGTAAAACTCAATAAAAACAGTTTGGTGGCTGATCAGATGAAATATTGTATGCTGTACTTGACTACAGTGAATTATAATTATCAGCTTTGTAATAAGGACCAATGAATTTGTACTGCGCTTAAATTTATTAAGAGTTCTTAACTATAATTTGGTTTTTAAAACAGGATATCATTCAGTCTAGGTTGGTTCTGAACTCATTAGGCAGCTCTGACTGACTCTGAATTAATGATCCTCAACTCAGCCTCCTGTGAGCCACCATGGCCGACCCATCCTATGTTTCTTTGTTAAGCAAATAGACATCACGTATTCTGAATTTCTGACATAATACAATGAAGTATTTAACTATTATATATAATGTAACAAACATGCTGATTTATAAGAAATATGGGTTTACATTAAAATATTTTAAAACTTTTATACCTGTAGTTTAGGCCATTTAAATTCAAGTTATCTTCTAACATCAATAAATATAAGAAAATTAAGAATTATTATTATATTACCATCTTTCAGAAAGATGAGTTAAGATATTTACAATTAATCTCATTTGAACACTCATACTGGAAAAATGCAGCCTTAAATTTTCTTTTATTGTTTCAAATCTTAAAATTTTATTCAGAGTAAATAAGTCTAATAGATTTCTCACCCAGTGATTCTCATTTAACTAAAAATCTAGAAAACATGGAGTAATGTGTCAGGCCAATTTAAGTAAGCAAAGAATTTTTGGATAAATCCAACAAAAGAGGAAACAAGCAAATAAAGGATAAAATGATTATGTTGAACTATAAAACATAAGCATAACACAGTAAATCATCAGAATGAAGAGACAGCCTGCAAAATGAGAGGAAATATTTGCTGCAAACTATGCATCTGACAAGAGGTTTTTATATCCAAAACGTGATGCATTTCTCCCCCCAAAAAATAACTGAAGAAAACAAAGAAAGGAAATAGATAATCTTTTTTTAAGAGAAAAAAAGAAAGGACATAAAAAAACAAAGCAGTAAAAGGGTACAAGTAATACAGAATTTCAAGAAAAAATATACAGTAAGAAATTAATAGGTTACATATTATCTTCCCAGATACAGTTGTCCAAATTACAAAATTAGAGCATATAATGTGGACATTCATACAGTGATATTGGAGACAGTTCCGTTCAATGATCCAACAAAAGCTCAGTAATATGGTTTCCATCCTACATACTCAAACATACCTGCGGTTATATCCCTTAGGCCACCTTCCTTTCCTCTCTTTTTTACAATAACAATTCGACTTTTTGGGTTTTATTATTCCCACAGTTCTTATTACTTTTTTTGAAGAGAATAAAACCAAACATGACAAAGCAAACCAGAGTCAGTTAGAACAGAAGGGTGGGCATAGTGCATGATGCAAAAATAGAATACCAGGTGATCAAAAGTGGTTACCATTGTGCCTCTTGCTATTTTTAAATTGAGTTGCCTATATCATCAGGTATAATAGAATTGATCAAAACAGTACAGAACAAGACCAATAAAACCTACACTGGAGACCTTATAGGACTTCAAAAAAAGGATAATAGTCAAACCATAATGAGCATCGTAGTATAACTTATTGCCTATACCCTCAAACTTGATACTAACAAAATAGAATATAGAATAATCAGACAGAACAAGATGGGGAGAGCAATACTGGGGCTCAAATCAGGCTAATAGGAAAACAAAAAAGTTACTATAATATGTCCTGCTATTTTTAAATTTAGTTTTCCCTTACTTAAAAAAAATGAGAGAAAGTAGATTAATTTTAAAAAGGGTGGAGATTGAGATAAAAGAGGACATTGTAACAGAACAATGCAGATCAGAACGGAACAATTTTAAGCATCCTTGTGTTTCACCACCAGATAATCTAACATAATTGTAGTCACCATAGTGCCTCTTTCCTTAATTATTTGAGTGTAACTTCATATGCTATAGCATCAAGCATATCAAGACAGTGTGAAGCCATTCAAGAGAATGCAAGAATTATAGGGTATTTAGAACCAGCTAATAGAAAATGAACAACGGTTTCCATATTATCTCTTTGCCTATAAAGAATTTTGTTTATACTATCACATATAGTGAAATATAGTAAGATACGACATGTTAAAACCAGTGCAAACAGATGTACCACAGCCTGATGGGACTTCAAAACAAGATGATATTAAATCATCACTAGCTTTTATGTTGTGTTGTTTCCTTCAAAATAGCTATTCGTACTATCACAGATACTAAATTCAAACAACCCAGGTTAAAACCAATGCAATTAATGAGTGGAAACATTATATGGCTTCAAACCAATATGATTGGGAATCATGATTACCACATACTTTCATGTAGTCTTATCATTTCTTACACTAGGGAAACTATTCAATATTTATACATGTGAGTTTGTTTTATTTCACTTATGAGTATGGTCTCAAGCTGCATCCATTTATTTATAAATATCTCAATGTGATCATTCTTTATAGCTGAGTAGTACTCCATTGTATAAGTATACCACAACTTTTTTATCCATTCCTCAGTCGATGAACACTTAGGTTGTTTCCAAGATCTGGCTATTACAAATTGTGCTGCTATAAACAAGGGTGCACATATATCACTGTGGTATGATGCTTTCAGTTCTTCTGGGAATATTCCTAGAAGTGGAATAGCTGGGTCAAATGGGGCTTCCAGTCCCTGCTCTCTGAGAAATCTCCAGACTGACTTCCACAATGGTTGCACTAGTCTACACTCCCACCAACAGTGTAGGAGAGTTCCTTTTTCCCACAGCCTCTCCAGCATTTGTTGTTGGTAGTTTTCTTGATCTTGGCCATTTGGAAATAGATAATCTTATTAAAAATAAGTAAAAAATAAATAAGTGGCTCTTAAACAATACATGTGAATATCTGAAATATATATGAAA